TTTGTAAAAAATCTCTGAGGGAAATCAGAGGGTGGTCCTGATGGCTCTTCCCCTGCCCACCCAGGTTCTGGGGGGCCCGGCCGCTTCCCCAGCTGGTGCGACCTGGGCCATGGGGCAGACTGTGGATGAAACAAGGTCAAGCTGGTTGATTGATCAGATGCTATTTATTCCATTCTTATTCCCATTCACTCCTGTCTCTCTTCTTCTCTCCCGGCCCCCAATCTGGAATCCCTTTTCTCCTTCTGGCTCTGGCTCTGCATCCCAATCCCCCAGTCCACTCTTACAGTCTAGTTAATTCCCCAAACCATGAGGGGCTGAGTTTACACATAAGTGTGGTCACAATCAATAGGGTTAAAGTTCTTTCCCTCAGAGGATGTTGCTTCTAGGACAGATTCTCTTTCAGCAGGACAACCCACCCAAGGGTGAAATCCCATGGGTGTGTTTCTCCTCTCCTTGTCCAACAAACATATTAGCATTCATAATATTAATCATTTTGTATCGACACAGTAAGAGATGCATTAAGCTTATAGAATTGCTCTCCTGGGGTCATCCCGATCTCAGACTACAGTGCTTAGACCAGTTTAGTCTTTTCTATTCCTAGCAGGGTCCTAGTCTCATCATTACTTTTGGATCATGACAGCATTTGTCCATGATCAAGCTCTTAATTTATAGTTAAGAATTGTGGCACTTTGGCCAGGCCTATCTCGATGCCAGGGTAGCACATAGCTTACCACTTGCCCTGGTTCCATCCAGTTCCTTGTCGGGACCTGTAAAAAACTAAACATGCGGGAGGTTGTGTGTTCGTGGGCTCTCTGGACGGCTCTGTCTCACCGCCCATGTTCGGTGCTCTTGAGCCTCTGTGTGTGGCCTGGATCAGGAAGGCTGTTAGCCAAGGGCAGATGAATGAAGAGATGAGGGCCAGGCTGGTTGGTCTTAGTTGCAGTTTATTCCAATCCTTTCTTCATTCACTCATGTCTTTCCTCTGCCTCTCTCTCCAACTCTCTTGCCTCCTACTCCCTTGCAATCTGGATTGACAAAGTACCAAATCAGGTAGCAAAATCAACATAAGAAAGCCCTTCCTGAGGGCCCACTTAAAGGTATTCCAAAGCCCTTCCTGACTGCTCAAGAGCAAAATGCCTCCTATGGTGTTTTTCACTTTTCCTCAGTCCAATAACTATCAACATATCAATACTAGCTATTTTTGTTTGGACACAGTAAGAGATAATATTGATACTTGTAGGGAAGCTCTCCTGGAAACATCTTGCCACAGACTCAGACTACAGCTCTCAGGCCAGATTAATTATTCTTAACCTTAGCAGGGTCCAAATCTGGTTATTACTTTTTGGATGATGACAGCATTTGTCCATGACCAAGCTCTTAACTGAGCCAGGCACAGAGGCAGGTGTGCGGGACCCGGGGAGTAGATCTCCAAGCCTATTTGATTTGCGACTGGGGCCTCCTCCACCCAGATCCCCCATCTTCCAGTATGTAGGCGTTACACCCAACAACTTCCCCCGGCCCCATGTAATCCCATTAACAACCAAGACACAGAGACTCTAAAACCCTGCTCCCGAAAGAGAACAGTGCAGAGTCTCCTGTCTCCTCTCCTGGCTGTCCTAACCAGGCTCCCTTGGAGGAGGGTGGGTTGAATTTCCCTCCCCACCACGAGCAGAGCCCTGACAGCTGAAGACCTCCGGTTCCAGCCACAGCCATGCTTAAGACCACTCTCCACATGTTCGGACGAGCCTCACGCAGGAAGAAACTGGCAGAGAAACCCAGGTGTGCGGGACCCAGGGTGTAGATCTCCAAGCCTGCTTGGATTGGGACTGGACCTCCTCCACCCAGATCCCCCATCTTCCAGTATGTAGGCATTGCACCCACTAATTGCCCCTGGTGCTGTGTAATCCCATCAATGGCCAAGTCCCAGAGACTATAAAACCCTGCTCCCGGAAGTGCATGGCTGCATTTGCGGTCTCATGACATCTTATTATCTAGTTCTTACTCTGGAGAACCTGGCAGGCTACCAAAAGTATCCTGCCCACATGGCAGAGTCTGGCAAACTCCCCATGGCATATTGAATATACCAAAAATCAGTAACAATGATGGGTCTCATTCTCCTGACTCTGAAAGAACCTCAAATGTGACACTTTCTAAAATCTCAGGACTAGGATGAAGGAGACGTTACTGGGGCCTGCTAGAGGCAATTGATGAACAACAGGATGACAATGATAAAGTGCTACAGTGAAGCTCTTAACTTATAGTTAAGCATTATGGCGCTTTGGCCAGGCCCATCTCGATGCCAGGGTAGTACATAGCTTACCACTTGCCCTGGTTCCATCCAGTCCCTTGTTGGGACCCCGCTTCTGGGGGCGCTAGGAAGTAAAGGCAGCTGAGGCTTAGGTGAGAGAACAGATGCCCAGGAGGGAATATCACTGAAAGTCACATTACAAAAGCATGTCTTCCTGTGTCCATACAAAAAGGAGATTTCTCTGAATAAACTATGCAAAGGATTTAGGGAGAAGAGAAAAACAATATTTACAAGTCAACAGAGTATAAAGAAAGAAGTTACAAATAAACACAGAGGAATGGGAACACTGTGATGGGAGCAACCCAATAAACATAAACTACCTAAGGCTATGCAGGAAGGACAGAACAGTGTTATCCTACAGGGACCCTGCTTTTGGGGGGTGCTAAGAAGTGAGGGAAACTGAGGCTTAAGTTGAAAAAGCAGATGCCCAGGAATGAATAATATTCGAAGCCAACTAAATCCCAAGTTACAAAAGCATAATATTAATTTTCTTCCTGCGTCTATCTATACAAAAGCACATTGCTTTAAAGTAAACTATTCAAAAGACACAAGGAGAGGAGAAAGGCAGTATTAACTTGCAATACAAGTTCAGTGTCCTAGAAAGATTTGACCTTACAAATTAACAGAATCTGATTAGGGGAAAAACTGATTAACTTCTTAGGGAAGAGAGCATAGAGAAGTGGTTACAGATGAACAAAAGAATGGGAGTGACTCGGGAGCACTTTGATGGGTGTGACCGGATAAACATAAGCTCCTTGTGACAAGGGAGAAAGGACAAAACTATGCTACATTACACTTTATGAATTACTTTTAATTTATTTATTTATTTTTGGTGTGGTGCCATACCCAGTAGAATTCAGTAGATACTTTGTGTCTGTGCTCTGTGGTTGCTCTTGGAAGTGCTCAGGGAACCCTGTAGTACCAGAAATCAAACCCAGGGTCTCAGAAAAATGCATACAAGGCAAGTGCTCTAACATTAAACACCATTCTGCGCCCTGTGTATTTCTATTAAGAAATTATTACAGTGTCTTGTTCTTTCTACTAAAGTGTGAAGTTCATGAAATAGCACCACATGTATCTTGTTCACTATCGCCTCTCCAATACTTGGAACAGAGAGTTGCATCTATTAGAATTATTAACTCAAAAAATTGGTCTAATGGCTATCTAAAAGATTATTTGAACAAATGCTTTTGTCAAAAGGAAACTTTTTATGGAGTACTCTGAAACTAATGACTTTCTACCTTCATGTATGAAAATGAGAAATTTTAGATTTGTTTGATAAACATAAGAGCTTTTATTTAAAGGTAAAGACGTCTACCTAGAATACTTAATAGGAAGGATTTGTTATAATAAATGATGGCATAGAGATTTATAGGTAAAGGTAAAGGTAAAGGCACTCCTGTTGTTTATCGATTTGCTCGAGCGGGCTCAGTGACGTCTCCATTGGAGATTTTGTTGTTACTGTGTTTGGCATATCGAATACATCACGGGTGGCTTGCCAGGCTCTGCCGTGCGGGCAAGATACTCTCGGCAGCTTGCCAGGCTCTCCGAGAGGGGCAGAGGAATCGAACTCGGGTCAGCCATGTTGGCTGCGTGCAAGGCAAACGCCCTACCGCTGTGCTATCGTATAGGAGGAAATATATTATCAGTTCAGGTTGGGCAGTAAGGAAAACTGTGTAGAACTGAATCTGCTGGCATTGGCACATCAACGAGAATGCACCTTTGCTAACACCATTCCCCAGGGAACTGGGAAATATGAAAGGTATCCTGGTGTAAGAACCACTCTGATTCGATTCACTCCACACCACATGCCACCCTCTCACAAAGAATTTCCTGGATTGCAGTTAATCTTTGTTTCTAGAACCCAAGTCAAATATCTCCACCCAATTGTCAAGGATATCTGGGAAATGTAGTTTTTTGGATTTTAGATTGGGAAAGCTACATATTCTGGATACATAAAGTCTGTGTATGTTAAAAATTGTTGGACAGCCATACTCTCCTTATTTTTTTTTAAATTGTTTTATTTTTATAAAGTTGGGTTGGAGCAATAGCACAGCGGGTCGTGCGTTTGCCTTGCACACAACCAACCCGGGTTCAATTCCTCCGCCCCTCTTGGAAAGCCCGGCAAGCTACCAGGAGTATCTCACGCACAGAGCAAAGCCTAGCAAGCTTCCCGTGATGTATTCGATATGCCCAAAACAGTAACAACAAGTCTCACAATTTGTTGTGAAACGTTACTGGTGCCCGCTTGAGCAAATCGATGAACAACGGGAGGACCGTGTTGCTGTGCTTTTATAAAATTGTTCACAATAGTTCATTACAGATAATCAAACACCAAATCTGTTTGTGAACTATTGTTCACAATAGTTCATTACAGATAATATTCAAACACCAAATCCACCACTGTGCACCTTCCCACAATCATAAGAGGAAAGTGTATGAAGATGGTTGTATTTCATCCTGGGGCCATTGAAGCCCTTATATAAGAGGTTACAAGTATATATGTTAAAACCAAACAGATGTGTGCTACTTTTGGTACATCAGTGGGCTAATGAGTATAAGAGGTCACACAGCTGTGAGTGCCGCCACATGCTCCAGGGCATTCTGTGTTGCTTTCTTCTAGGAGCTTTAGTTCACAGTCGCTAGATCTTGGCCATTGATGAGATTATATGGTGATGGGGGCAGTTTGTGGGTGTGACTGCCAAGCTTCTGGAAAACTGGGTGTCATCCTTGCACAGAGGCCATGCTAATCTCTGTATTGTTCCAATTTTAGTATATGTGCTGCCAAAGTGAGCATGCTACTGGAAAACTGGGGAGCTGTCCCACATACCTGGGTTTTTCTGCAGGTTCCTCAAGTAGGTGAGGCTCGTCTGAGAATGTGGAGAGTGGAGAGTGGCCTTGAGCATGGCTGTGCTTTTGAGTTCTGGAGATTTTCAGCTGCCAGGGTTCTGCTGGGGAGGGGAGGGAAACTCAACCTGTTCCTCTCCAGGTTGCCCCTGTGAAGACAGCCTAGCACAGAGGTCAGGACGTTCTTCACACTCTCCTTTATTTCTCAACCTTTATTTAAGTGAACTTGTGCAAAGCTTTGTTTTATTGAATAGCTTATCTTAAAAAGTTATTTAATTTTAGCTTGAGATAATGTTGGCATACAATGTCATTTTAGGGGTATGTTTTTACACATCTTAAACTAGATGTCACCACTTCATATGTTCCTTTAAAGAATCAGTTTCCCTCCAGTACAGTCCATAAAAAGATGGATGCACTTCATCTTCTTATTCACTTTCCACCTCTTCTGATAACCTCAGTTCTAACATCAGAATTCAGTTTTGCTTTGATTCAGCATTCCTTGTCTTGTTTACTTATTTTTCTTACCAGAAATTACATTGCATTATAATATTATACAAATTTCAAGTATGTATCAACAAACATCAATATCACTGGAAAAGGTTCTTCATTGAAAGTTCACTTCTATCCATCAATTCATATTTGTTGCCCATTTTTTCCCCAAATCATTCACTTTCCTTTCTCCTCTTGTAGTAGCCATTTTTGGGGTTAAACCAGAAAAATCATTTTTGTTTTGTGGTTCAATCATTTGCTTGTTTATTCTACATTCTATATATGAGTGAATTCATATGGGTTGTCCTTATGCTTATTTCACTTAACATTACCTCCGCATGTTACCTTCTCTTCACATGCTCTATAGTATTTTCTGTTTCTTACCATTTTGAGAAAAGCCATTTTCACATTTTTGAGGCCATGGTTCACTGTTTTGATTTTTGTTTCTCTAATAAGATTTATAAACATCATTTATTATGGTTGTGGTCACATGAATGACTTCTTTGGAAAACAAATAAGATCATTTTAAAATGTCCATTTAAATATTGGGTTCTTTGACTTTATTTTGATTTTGAGGGCCAAAACTCAGTGGTGCTTATTGCTTACTCCTGGTTTAGAACTCAGGGGTCCCTCATGGGGTGCTTGGGGACCATATTGGCCGTCAGGGATTGAGCTAAGGATGGTCGCGTGCAAGAGAAGTGCCTTACCTCCTGTACTATCTCTTTGACCCCTTACTGTTTTATCACATCTTTTATAAGTCCTTTGTATATTTTATTTTATTGTTATTTTTTTTTGCTTTTTGGGTCACAGCCGGTGATGCACAGGGGTACTCTGGGTCTGCAGCAGGAATTATTCCAGGCGGTGCTCAGGGGATCATATGGGATGCTGGGAATCGAACCTGGATCGGCCATGTGCAAAGAAAACATCCTATCTGCTGTGCTATCACTCCAGCCCCTCTTGTATATTTTAAATATTAAATAAGTTCATGTCAGATACACAGTGAGCAACTACTTTTATTACATATAATATTAGTTTATTTTGATTTATTTTGAATAAACTTTTTAGTTTGATGTGATCCCATTTCTATGTTTTTGCATTTGTTTCCATTTCCATTGAAATCAAATACCCAAAATGATCTTTAGGGCTGAGATCAAGGAGCATATTTCTAGGATAACATTGGTTTGTTCTTTCTGCCTTGCCACAGGGAGCTTAGGTTTATTGGGTTATTCCCATCACAGTGCTCCCATTCCTCTGTGTTTATTTGTAAAATCTTTCTGTGTGCTCTGCTTTCCCAACCAGTCAATCCCCTTTATCTTCTAATCAGAGTCTGTTAACTTGTAAATATTACTTTTCTCTTCTCCTTAAGTCCTTTGCATAGTTAATTCAGAATAATGTCCTTTTTGTATAGACACAAGAAGACAGTTAATGCTATGCTTTTGTAACATGAGAGTTAATTGACTCCGAATAATATTCATTCTGGGTATCTCTTTTCTTGACTTAAGCCTCAGTTGCCCTTATTTTCTAGAAACCCCAAAACAGGGTCCCAACAAGGGTCTGGATAGACCCAGGACAAGATGTGAGCTGCCCTGGCATCAAAATGTGTGTAAAGTGTCATAATACTTACTTATAAGTTAAGAGCATGGTCATGAACAAATTCTGTCATGATCCAAAAAGTAATAACTAGATAGGAACCTGCTAGGGTTAGGAAAGATTCGTCTAGCCTGAGCACTGTAGTCTGAGATCTATAGCAAAATTTCCCCAGGAGAGTCACCCTACAAGCTTAATGTGTCAATACAAAATAACTAATATCCACTGTCACTGTCTTCCCATTGTTCATCGATTTGCTCGAGTGAGTCCATTAACATCTTCATTGTGACAATTGTTACTGTTTTTGGCATATTAAATACATCACGGGTAGCTTGCCAGGCTTTTCCGTGTGGGTGAGATACTTTCGGTTGCTTGCCAGACTCCCCAAGAGGGGCAGAGGAATTGAACTCGGTCAGCCATGTTGGCTGTGTGCAAGGCAAATGCCCTACCCGCTGTGCTATCGCTCTAGCCCAACTAATATTAAGAAGTAGAATTAAGATGGTAATTAGGTCATTGGACTAAGGAGAGGAGAAACACTCCTAAGTATTATTTTGCCCTTGAGAGGTAGAAGGGCTTTCATGTGTTGATTGTGCTACTGGACAGGGTATGCTGGCTACCCCCAATGCTAGGAGTTGGTAAAAGACTAGGGAGAGACCAAGACAGCTGGTGGGAGCACAGAGAGATGAGTGGGAGAGACAGGAGAAGATGGGAATGAAGGGCAGTGTGAGACTAGAATGGGGAACTTAGTGATACTAGAACAGTTGTGTGGGGAGAATGGAATAAATGGCAACTGATCACCAACCAGCCTGGCCCTCATTTCTTCCTTTATCCACCCACAGCATCAGCATCCCAGGTGAGGAAGTGGCCTGGGACCAAGACCACTGTATGCAGGTGGCGAGAGAGAGTGAGCAGGGATTTCCCTAGCAGCATGGTGAATACACACATATTACCTATTTTTTCTATATATTTTATGGTCTCAGCTCTTACATATTTAATCTGTTTAAAATGAATTTTGTGCATGCTTTAAGTAGCAGTGTAGTTTTTTTCTTTTGTGTGTGGATGTCTAGTTTTCAAGATTACTGAAGTCTTTCTCTGTTGTAAACTCCCGCTTCTCTACAGGAGGACTAAGAATTAAGTTAGTTCTTGCTATGTGTGTGATTTTTATTGATGGACTCTCAACTCTTTTATATTTTCTTGTGTGCCTAATTTTAAAATAATTTAAAAAATTATTATCACTTTATAGTAGAAATAGAAGTCAGGAAAAATAATACCTTTATATTTCAGGAGATTTTTCTTAGATATTTTGTAGCTCCATGTTAATACCATGATTTTTGGCTCTTCAATAAACCATGTTATTGGGTTTTTGTTAAGAATTTCATTGAATTAGTACATTGCTTTAGAAAATATAATCATTTTAAGAAATATCACTTTTCAAGTTCTTGAGCATTAAGTGCCTTTCAAGCTCTTTGTAGCTTCTTGATTTTCTTTCAACATTGTCTTATACTTTTTAGTGTTCAGCCCTTTGGATTATTTGAATAAATTTATTTAAGGGCATTTGTTTTTAAAAAGCAATTTTCGGGTACTGTGATTTGCAATATTGTTACTCATTCTTTTCATGGGTACATTGTTCTAAGATCACACACCAGACAACCCACTTCCCTCAGCCAGTGTCTTAATTACTTTACCCCTCCTCCTATAAGTTCAGTTCAATAGGAAAATCTTCAGTACTTATCACTTTGAGCATTTGTTATTCACTTACTACGTTTCTTTTTTATATCATATTTGGAATATCTCTCTATCTCTTTCTCTCTTTTATAAATTTTGGAGATGATGAGACCTACACACATAGGTGAATAGTGTTAAACTCCTGGATGTCCACAAAAGAGTAAATCAATACTAAGTTGGTAAAGTAAATTTTTAGTAAAAGAAATGTAAATGTAAAATAAGCAAATGATCACGATCACGATCACAACCATCCTGTTGTTTGTCAATTGCCTCGAGCAGGCCCCAGTAACGTCTCCTTTATCCTAGCCCTAAGATTTTTTAAAAAGTGCCATATTCAAGGCTCTTTCAGGGTTAGGAGAATTAGATCCATCATTGTTACTGGTATTTGGCATGTTGGGTATGCCATGGGGAGTTTGCCAGACTCTGATGTGTGGGCAGGTTACATTCGGTAGCCTGCCAGGTTGTCCAAAGTAAGAATGAGATAGTAAGATGTCCGTGCACTTCCCGGAGCTGGGTTTTATAGTCTCTGGGTCTTGGCCGTTGACGGGATTACACGATGCCAGGGTCCAGTTGGTGGGTGTGACCCCTGCCTACTGGAAGATGAGGGATCTGAGTGGAGGATGCTCAGCCCTGATCTGAGCAGGCTTGGAGATCTCAGCCCCGGGACCTGCATGCCTTTGTTCCTCTGCCAGTACCATCATGCGTGTGGAGAGTGGTCTCAGCATTGTTGTGGCTGGTTCTGGAAGTCTTCGGCTTCCGGAGCTCTGCTTGGGGCGGGGAGGGAAACTCAATCCGCCTCCCTTCAAGGGGCCCTGGCGAGGACAGCCAGGTGCGGGACCAGGAGACTCTGCGCTGTTCTCTTCCGGTAGCTGGGTTTTATAGTCTCTGGGTCTTGGCTGTTGATGGGATTACACGGTGCCAGGATAAAATAAATGTAAATTCAGTAAGTGAAGAGAGTTAAGAAAAAATTTAAGGAGACTATGAAGAGATCTGTCACTGTCACTGTCCTCCCATTGTTCATCGATTTTCTCAAGTGGGCCCAGTAACGTCTCCATTGTGAGACTTTGTTGTTACTGTGTTTGGCATATTCAATATGTCATGGGTAGCTTGCCAGGCTTTGCCGTGCGGGCGAGATACTCTCGGTAGCTT